CACGTTCATTTCTAATAGCCTTTTGACGTAATAACAATTCTTTAAGTCGACGTTCAGCAGCCGCAGCAGCTTCAATACGGCGCTTTAATACAGCTTGTTGCCGTTCGTGCACTGAAACCATACGAGACATTTCACATTGAAGCCGGCGATCATGTTCTTGAAGTTTTGTCACCTACATAAAATGATCAAAAATTTATCACAAAAGCTTTAAAAGATTATCTGAATAACAGTCGAAGCGTGTCTTATTAAATAGGATTTCTTGAAACTTATAATTTAAACATTTGACGAATAAGGTGATTTAAGTGACTATTACGCATATTCAGCCCACTAAGAATAAATTGAAGTGTGATAAAATAGAGTGGCACGCTGAATTTACAAATTCTAGGGGTTATTGAACTTAGATTGGCTAGTAGGCAAAAACATGTTGGTAAGGGGATTCACAGTTTAATCATGATTTAGTTCAGTCAGTCAGCTATAGCATATGACCAGGCACATATATGCATCGATCCAAATTGCCATAATTACTTAGCACAACAAGATCAACACCGAATTCATAGAAGCAGTTACTTCAATGGTAGTAATATATTCGACAAAAGATTGCGTAAAAGGATATGACACAGGGATAAATAATTGGTTCGTACAAATAAAGTAAAGAGTTCCAATCACACAGGATTGTAAACACTCTATGCTGATATATGGGGGATAACTAGAACAATAAGTAAAGTAGGTTTTATTCCTGATCATCTCTACAAGTATCACACCTTGATATAGAGATTTTGATACGAAAATCAAAAGAATAACAGATTAAGAGGTAGGATAAGCAAAGTGATAAATATATCCAAAAAATCATTTCACCATGAACTTACTTTATTCGACTCATTATAAAGTTTTATCAATCCAGTTAGGATATCTTTCAATTCTTGAATATAACTAATCAGTTCAGGATATTCATTGAATTTATCTCTAACAAATTGATTTAAGGAACTGTAATTATATTTTTTTTGTTAAAATAAATATGAGAAATTACTTGAGAATGGATTCGATTTTCTGCAGTTCAGAAATTACAGTATCATGTAAATGATCAGCGTCGGAACGATTTCTGTATAATTCCTGCATTTGTTCGACAATATGATCTAATTCTGCACAAAGCAGAAGCTTCTCACTCTATAATAAATGATTATTTTTAAAATAAATACATGTATAAGTTAAAAATCTATTTATTACGGCAATTTGATTGGGATAATAAGAGGGGTAAGCTATTGAATTAAAGCGTTAAACAATTGAGCCTCTGGTTCAAACCTCGTTCCACCTACATCAATTTGGGCAAGCACGAGGTATTATTAGTCTTCACACTTAGAGTTTAGTTCATACCGAATTATCTGATGAATGCAATAAATTTATTTACAGGATTTATAGTTTTCGTGATGAAATAAAAAAAACTGATATAACGGCGATATAGAGGTATAACTCGAGAAATTTATTAGAAAAGTATTCAATCAATACCCATCAAGTTAACAATTTGGTATATAGTTTAGGTACATGATTAATAGACTATTTTTATGTCACAACTATATAACAACTAGCACAGGACATTGAGGGACGTTCCGATCAGTTGTCCGATGCAGACTTAGTGACACTTAGGTTTAACTTATTGGCGTATATAGACCTGATTTATTGTCTGAAGGTATCGAATATTTAGCTATCTTCATCATTTATGTGAATTTTCTATTGATCGTGTTAGAGAATTTCAATGAACGTTATTTAGAGAACGGAGTTGAAAAACACTGCAAATCAATCTATACAGTTGGAAAATTCTTTAGAATTCTAGAAATCGAATGCACTTGATGTCCTTCTCTAATCCAAATTATCAATAATTTTAACATATTTCCTGACAGTATCTATGACTTCATGGTCGATGATACTAATCCGGGAAATAACCCCTCATTTTCGTAACTACAACAGAATTGAAGGTAAACCACTTGTTGCATTCATTTTTCTTCAATTTTGTTCACTTTTCAAGTTTAACACCCATGAGGGCATAGAAACTGATCAGTGATCATCACAAGTGTTCAACGCACCAGAAATTTAGAATATCTGATTATGATTGTCTTGGGGTCATGATGCAAAACTTGAAAATAATAATCACAGAAATTTTTAATCCAGAGATAAAGTAAATGAATAGAATATAGTGATTATAACAACTTGATACAACTTACTAACCTCTAACTTTTTATTTTTATTCATGAGATTTGTAACTAATTCTGAAGAAAAATGACTGTTAGTAGAATTATTATTAATAGTAGTAGTAGTAGTAGTAGTAGTAGTAGTAGTAGTAGTAGTAGTAGTAGTAGTAGTAGTAGATAATGGTTTAATAATTGTTTTTGGACAAGGACTGAGTAATGGAAAACAAGAGGAATTGTTAGCTAATCGTGCTTGTAATTGAGCAACCAAAACACGCAGTTTAGCAAGTTCAGCATCTTTAGGATCAGCACGATTTAAAATTGGTTTATTTTTAATTAAACGTGCTCGATCTGCATATCTGAAATAATACAAATACATTACTACAAATTAAGAGAGAGAATAATGATTGAAATATTGGAATAACTGATTTTAAATTAACTTACATATAGTTTAGCCCCATAGGTTAATAAATAAAGCTTGACCACTTAGGAAAGTTATGGAATAACTTAAATTAAGAAAAAAATAAGAAATAGCCAAGTGATTAAAGCCGCTGAGTGGTTAGTCAGTCAGCAAATATTCATTGACACAAATAGCCATAATGAATATTAACAGGAAATTAGCAAGATACACAACAAGGTCGGAGTAATAGTAGTAAAACTATGACCCGACCGTAGCAGCTACATTGATGCGGTGGCTGGGGCTTTTCTATTGTGAGGACTCAGTCAAGATATATTGGCTAGAAAATTTATTTTTGAAAGTCCTAACACGTTAATCTGATTAACACAGTAGTGGTAAGACCAAAAAATTCAGGTTTTGGAGGATGGAAGGTGAGATCAAATGGTTGGCTACACTGGAGTTTGGGGCTAGTAAGGTGTCCAGCAAAAACCAGCATCCTCAAGGGTGTTGCCTTCCCACGATGCAAGGAGTAGGAAAATCTTGACTTATGTCTGAAGGTTTTACGGCGACGGTAGTGTAGCTCAAGGTACAAAGCTAAAGCATTACACAACTCACTTAAAAATTAGCGTCTAGTACTTGTGTTGGGACCCGAGAAACAATGAATGGTAACTTGGGATCCTTTTATGAACCAATACTAAACGTATATTTTTATTGTATAATTGTTAAATAACTAAACTGTTTATATTCATGTTCCTCTTATTATAAGCTTTATTTTGACTTATGAACCATTATTTTATGTTTTACCATTCTTGAACTATACCCAGTGTATTGATTACTATCTCCCTCATTCACAGCCACATCTGGCCAATTCTTGTACAAATGTTGTTTCATATTTTATTGGTACGTTGTGTTCGGTTTGATTGGTATATAAACTGAGTATGTTTGAAAAATAATGATTCATATCGCAGAAGCTGAGACTTGTGTTCTAGACTTAACTGGCCGGGTTAGGCGGAAATCGGGACTCTAGGTTGTTATCACGTGTTTTACGCGTCTTTTGTCCGATCGATAAGTCACTGCTCACTAAACGGCGGTCACAAGTTATAACAACTTGTCTTTTGAGATTTGCAGTCACGCCCTCAGGTCGACAAGGTCGTCTCCACTCCTTTAGCTTCTATTTCAGATTCCTAACTAGATTGCCATCCACGATGAAGACAAACGGGAAGTGTCAACAATTCACACTATAAGAACGCATGAGTTAATAATGTCCAGAACGAAATCTCAACTCCTAATGTTATTTTATATTTTTACTAACACTATCTCTTTCTGTAAGACATTGGTATTGGAAGAGACTAAACGTAGGTAAAATGGTTTGAAAAGGAATGAATTAGCAGAATAAAAAGCATGAAACGGTACTGAAGCTCACGATCTACATGAAGATAGACGATGGATACATATGCACCAAAAATACAATTGAGTTTTAGTGATGTCGTACAAGGTCTTCGATCATTGGTCGGTCAATTTCACCTACTTTAATTGAGCATCTGGATATTACTACTCAGACAAAATGCATGCTTTAAAGCCGAGTACATGGACTTGTACTTGGTAAATTGAGTAACACTATAACAAACCACTGAATAAATTAACTGGCGGAAAACTAAGTGTTGGTTAAAAGAGTTGAAACTAGAAATGTTTGCAGAATAATACAGATCACCGAGCAGACCGCCCCATATCACTATGCTAACATCGCTAGTCGAGGGTGTCATATATTATGTAGCTTTAACATTTTATTTCGCAGAGAAAATCGGCGAGATTCTATAATTCGAAGTACGGGTCGCGCATGCTGAACAACGGACTGGATAATGTTTAGGTTGAATATCAGATATTGAGTTAAAAAGTGGTTGGCCAGTGTGATGACGGCCCACGGGTGAACTCAAGGAAGTCCTAAGGAGCTCAAAAAGAGCCGGAGATATTCCATACAATCACCTTTTGGAAGAACACTCCAGAGTCTCGACGTGTAGCTTCTCTATTGGACAAATGCTAAAGAGCACTGTATGCGGGATTGAATGATTATAATGATGATTTCACTTTTACTAAAAACTATAAATACCTGAGTTTTGTACCATATTTGACACTGGAATAATATTCCTTCTCACTCGTCTTGTCATTTGCGACTTGGAAGGTTCTAGGGTTCGGGTGCTCACGTAGTACGCGGTATACCAAATATCTAAGTTCTAGATATAACAACCAGGATATTAAGTTCATCCATTGAGGTAGTCATGGTATGTATTACGCTAACCCAACCAATTTCTTCGACATCCGGTGATATTTAGGGGACGTCAAACAGAAATTTGATACCAGCCCATAAACTCTATTATTATCGGACTATCGTAATCCAAATCAATGGTGCACATGGGCTCCAGTATCCTGCGGGAACAGATGGCGTATGAACCAATTGTTGGTCACGGGCTTCCATGGGACTGCATCTCCTTACGATGCTCCACTACCGTGTGGATCAGACATTCAGGTCGAAGGCTCGGGGAGTGGCCTCCTAAGAAAACCACCTGCTTCGGTTTGGGCACCCGAGCAGTATCACAGCCCTCACACATATCGAATGAGATTTGTGTGGCGCATATGTATTTGGTGCCTCCTTGTACCAATATCTATGTGTTAAAATAAAAATAAATAAATAATCCTAGGTGCGGAGAGTGGCCTTCACCCATCTTTTCTAGTGTATAAATACCTTACGTCAAACTTCAACACAAGTCAGAATAGGTTGAGCTTAGTAACAACATAAAGGTGAATTAAATATGGAATATACAACACTGAAACAACAACTCACCGAAGTGTGTTCAATGTCTCTTCCATATTTATATCTGCAGGACTAACACAAGCAAGCATTAATGTGGTACTATTCCCGCCCAACGAATCTTGAAGTAGGCGAGTTAAACGTGAATCGCGATATGGAATATGCGATCGTTTCTTTGCGTCCCGTTCGCATAAAGCACTTATTACATTACCAAGGGCAAGTAATCCTCTATTTATATCGATACCTGTCGGAAATGTTTAAAGAATAACACCATATCAACTGGGCTAAACAAGTTAATTAAAAAAACTACAGAGATCCTTAAAACTAGTTTTCCAGTGAAGATAAGTCACCTAACTCACTCACCAATTTAAATTTTAAGCAGAAAATCATTCTGTATGATAAGGAAATTTCGTTGAGCAAAGCTTCAAACTATATGGTTTAAATTAAATGTGGTCAGTGACAAATCTTCACTCTTTTTCTTACTCAAGGTTACAAAATTTAAATATATTACACCTAATAATTTAACGCTTTTTTGTAAATCTTCCATTGTTAATTTTCTATTATCGTTATGTGTTGAATTGACTCGCTTACACCGAACTCGATCTTAATACAGAGAAGACAGTAGTGACAGGACATCAGTAAACTATACACATCTACTTCCATCGGCCGTCTCAAAGAGTTAATACAGAACAAACTCCTACACTGGATACACACCCCTCGATAATAGTTGGATTTTTCTCCAGAACCACGAATTAAATGGCTTAACTACTTCCAAACGAGTTGCCTGTATCCCTAATTGCAATTCGTTAATCTAACACTTAAATACGTAAAAAATATGACACACTTAACTTTTTCACTCTGTAATTTAAGAAAAGTAAGGAGAGTATTCCAGGAACATCACCCTACATTCGACCGGTGGGAGAAAACATAGTATCTAGTTTCATCACTAAAGAGTAAAATTTTCTACAAACGCTCATATGCTTTGCAAATAACAACAGGGCCTTTGATAGGATAGCAATTTCGTTTAACACCCTTGTCGAAGATAATCTCGTGAAACTTTTCAATCGACTGAGTTAAATGCCACTCACATGTTAAAGAGCATAGTCCATAAGTATGGGGATGAATCCTACTGTGTCAATAACACATTACTTACTACCTGGGCCTTTCCAAGCGTAACCAAACCTGATGTGATGAAAAAAAATTGAATGTCGAGTAACTACTAATTGGTCTGTTTGGCAAGACAAATGAGGACTATATTTATGTCGACCACGTAATAAAAAAACAACGCCACCAAAAGATAACAGTAGAAATATCCAAAGATACGTATAAAATACACATACCTTCTTTAAGTCGGTCACCTTCAGCATGTGTTTTCTTAATTCGTTCAGAGCCAGCTAGGTCGACTAAATGTAATTTAGCTGTTAATGTATCTTCTGTATTCTCCCCATTCATCTCTGTTATCTTTGGCTGCAACAAAAAACATAGAGTAAGAATGGCATGACTGCGACTGGATTTTAAGTTCATCGCTGTACTCGCAACACTTCTTTTTGTTGAGCCACAGTGAAGAAGATAAAGAACTTCTTCCGGAGATGTGACCACTGTTTCAGTTAGGCCTGGGATCTATGCAGTAAACTCTAAATACGCAGTGAGGAAATACCTTAACAAGTTGATTCTCTTCACGTATTTGTAAGGATGCAGATACATCTTCGCCTAACAGATCATGTATATCCTCTTTATATATCTGGGAAATAACTTAATACAAAAATGTGTATATTACCTCCACGAATGAAACCTTCACTGTATATTCATACTCATAATTTGGCATTCTCTCAAATAAATCCTTAATAATCCGAGGAACAATACCAGCGGATTCTTCTACCACACTTTCAGAGATACATGTACCCATTGTATATGTTTTCCCACTTCCAGTTTGACCATAGGCAAACAGAGTAGCATTATATCCTTTGAGAATACTTTCAACCATTGGAAGTGCAGCCTTTTTGTAAACATACTCTTGAGAATCTGTTTCTTTGAAAACATAGTCAAAGCCAAAAAGCCTATCATTTCCAATTATTAGCTGATTTTCTTCATTTGGGTATGACAAACAGGTCGAACTCCCGTCATTCACTTCACTGTTTGACAATGGTCGAACACGAACACCAACTTTTACACTTGTGTCGCCAATTTCCATTTGTACAGGGTACAGAAGTATCAAAGCGATAAGAGCTGTTGACAGATAATAATAAATCCCTAGCTATAGAAGTTTTTAAACAAAACTTTCAATGAAAAACAATAACATCAATCGGAATGTTTTTGGTACATAACAGAATACAAGACATCATTTAGTGGCTACAAACTATCAGGAACATAGTAACTCATGAAAACTAAACATATCTAATTGTCGACGTTTAATAGGAAAGAATGCATTTATGTGAGAATTGAAGTAACAGAGAATTA